TCTAATGCCTCTTTATTTTTTATGCCTTTGTGTCTCTCTTTCTTTGTGCTTCCCCCTCTCTCTTTTTCTCCCATGTCTCTCTATCCTGCTGTTCCTGTCCTTTCCCACTCTCCTCTGAAACTCTGCCAGCCAACGAGTGCCACAAAGCATTAGGACCAAACACTATCAGACGCCCTTCTCAGGCACATCCTACACATCAACCCCCACCCCCTCTATAAACCCACGTCACACACACACACAATCACACACGCGCACACACACACACCATGTGCCAGACTAGGTGACAGAAACAGAGTTTACACACAGGCCTTGCGAGGTCTTATTCACTGTGGCAGACTCATCCAGACACTACCCCTTATAAAATAGTCACAGAGTTACAGTAGTATGCACAAGTACTCAATTTTTAATTCAAACACACATCCACATACTTTCACTGGCAATCACTCACGCGCACGCCATCTCAATACATTCATAAAAGCCTTCATATGTTCACTCACAATTTCTTTTTCACATGCACAGTCACACTCTCTTGGCTTAGCAGACATGTCATGTGCATACACAAGAGTGCATTACAAGCGTAAACACAATCCCGTCTACTTCTCCCTCACTCACACTATCTAACACAGATCTGCACAAAATCCCAGACTCTGTACACAATGGCAAACACCATACACAATGGCAAACAAACAGTCATTAGTAGATTTCAGGCTGCCTTTCAGTTGTGCTCGACTCTGTTGTTGGTGTGCCCGTGCCTCTGGGGTGGCGCCGCTGCTGTAGGTTTTAATAAAAGCATTGTCTTTGGAAGCTGTCTAAAGGGACTCGGTTTCATTTTGGAGAGCTGCTGCTTCTGCTGTAGCTGTGGATGTGGGAGGAGAGAGGGCTATTGCGCTGGGACGTGGGGGCGGCAAGGTTCAGTGTCATAGCCAGGCCCTCCAAGGACTGGTGCTTATTGTTTGATAGTTTCAATATACAATGTGTATGCGTGTGTATGTGCTTGTGTTCTGTGATCATGTAAGCACATGTGTAAACTCGTGTGTACAAATTTGGGAACAAGTCGAAGCAAATAGCTGATACAGCTTACTACTTCAACTTTCCAACAGTAATTACTGCCTGAATTTTATGCAAGAGAAGATAACCCCCCCCCACACACACACACACACACACACACACACACACTCACACACACAACACAGAGCCATGTGGATAACAGGCGTAGAATCTCTCTCATCTCTTTCTCTGCTGTGTTTTTGTGTTGCTGTTAAGCAGCCCTATAAAACAAACCGTAGAGAAGAGAAACCCTAATGTGTGACTGCTCCACTCATGAAACCGTGTGCCATTTAGGGAGTATTCAGGATAACGAGCAATTGCTATATAACACACAGGTGTCCATTAGCTCTTTGGGCTGACCAATCTGTGACACCCTCTAGTCAATAGTTTCTCCATCTGTCAGCATACAAACACCTCTGAAAAAGCCCCGCAAGGAGACATTTGTGTCATTTATGATGGAGAATGAATGTCTTCTCTCAACAGGAGCACATTGTAAAGCCCATGATGAGGTCAAATCAAATGTTATTGTCTACATTTTGTACCACTATGTCCCTGTGCCCTCCCCCGGTTTTTTCCCCACTCTCTTCCCACAGGCACCTTCAGATCCCATCAGCTGAAGCAACATGGACACATCTTTAAAAAGCCAAAAGGAAAGAATGGCTACCTGGGAGGATGCAAGGGAGGAGAATCCTAATTGTCCCTTTAAGTGTGTTCCCTCCCGTGGAGTGAAGGTGCAGGGTAACGGCCATCCTAAATCACAGCCCGGCCGCGGCCTTCATTAAAGCCATAATGCCAGGCTCTCCCTTTAATGGAAATGGAAGCCAGCAAGGCTGTGGGTGTAAATTAAAGTGTAAGGCCCGGGTAGGGAAAGATTTCCCCGGCCCTGACAGGTGCGGCCTGAATTAGCTGTAGTGCTGTTCAAGCAGTCAGTGGGAGAACACTGGTATTGATTTTAAGCACTGTTGCACTTCCTATCTGAAAGAGAATGTGTATTACTAGAGCTAGGCACATCAATCACTCAGCATACCAACACTTTCCCCCTGGCACGCTTCAGATTTGAAATGATAAACAAACAGAAACAGACCAAAACAAAAGATAACACTGGCTGTACGCTTACTGTATGAGCCCCGATGATGTGCAGCAGCACCAGCATAGTAAAATACATCTGTGCGTGCATGTAATTGGACCACTTCATCTCATCTCCCTCGTGTTGACAGGATGCCATCTCTATTCAGGGCATGTCCTGCATTGCGTGTCACCTTGGTCAAACAGATAGCGTCAGCTCCTTGAGCTCTCGCTGTGGCCCACTCCCATGTTTACGACCTGCATGTGTCAGAGTGGTTACATGCATACAGTGCAGCCATGCAGCACAGTGCCTCCACGTGTATGACCCTGCTGCTTATCTCTGACTCCCATCATGCCCCGCTGACCCTGTCTACGGGCGCTGGCAGGGGCAGAATTAGCCTACTTAGCCTATTCCCCACAGGGGTCAAGCCACACGCAGACATGCAGACAGCCCACGCCCACAATCAGATGCACACACAGCCGTCCACAAGCACCCTGAACCCTGTGTGGTGACAAATGATAAGGCAGCACTTAACCACAGGTGTCCTAAGTCTGGCCTCTCACCCATGACCTTGAGCAGAAAGACTTTCATACAGAGGCCAGCCATCAATCAGCTTCCATCAATCACACATATATGGCACACCCTTTCACTCCCCCACAACCTTTCCTGGCCTTAACATCCATCACTGAGCTCTACCCTTTCACTGACATCTGGGAAAACACAAACACTTCACAGCCTCTTTCCCTGCCCAGAAACACACACGTACAGTGAAGGCACACAGCTTGTCCTGCAGGGATGACTCCTCTGAAACATGGAATGTGTTGTTGCGGTGTCACTTGAACTGCAGGTGCACACCAGGGGCTGCTCCCTTGTGACAAGTTTGCTGAGATATCAGCACCTGCACTGTGACATGACATGGGGTTGAAATCCTTGAACACACTGGCAGCTGAGACAACAGCAAAACAGAGAGCCAGAAGTGTCGGACTGTGGACATGAGAATCCAGAGGACCATTTGGCAACAAATTCACTTGATCTATAGTCTCTCACAGCTCAAACAAATGCCATTTTTAGGTTGACCTGGAAATGACTGGAACCTTTGTAGTACTTTAGCAGCTTTCATTGCTCCATTTTTATTCTTAACCGTTTTCTATTTGTTTCTCTATGTCATCTCATTAGGCTGCCCTCTAACGGTTTTTCAAAAGTAACATTCATTTTCAACTCAAACCATTTATGATCTGAAAATATACAATATGATAATTCAACTATAAAAAGAGGAATGACTAAATGACTATTTGGTGAAATGATCTCCTTGAAAATCGTTTTTCAATGTACAATAAGGTAGCACTTGTGTTCTGGTGGGGAAATCCAGAGTCTCTTTGTCAATCATGCAGGCCACACTGCTGAGATATGCCTGACATTGGTTAATTTTTGTTTAGTTAGAGGAGAGGCTGAAGGAGACAGGTGACTTTTTTGATAATAAAAATTAAAAGAAACTGGTGAGCTGTGTGCTCTTTGGTCCATGCTCCATAATTACACCACAGAACCTATTTTAATTGGCAGTGTCTTTATGCAGAACTATTATCCATGTCCCTCCAAGGCAGTCAAGAGAGATGGGCTGGGGAGAGCGACGTGACGAATGGTTTCGATGTCAGTGAGCACAGGGCCCATTTACACATGGATGAGGATTGCTAAAATGCTATCATAGCCAGTCCAGCTTGCAGGAAAATGGTGAGGGTTTTTTTTTAACATCTGAGCTGGTTACAAATATATGAAAATATATCCTAAATAAGGGGGAATATTGTATAAAAAGAATAGATTGTGAATATGAATGGACAAATCCTGAGTGACATCACCAATCTGTTACTGCAGGGGGCTTTAGAGTCCCATCAATGGCTGTCTCCATGCTGGAAATGTCGCCTCAATGTTGTCTTTCCAAGAGCTGTCCAACATTAAAGCCGTTTTCACATATGCACTCCTGAAAATGTCTAGAAAATTTCAGTCCACAAAGGGGTGGGGTCTCGCGACGCACAAAGCAACAGCAATAATTTGAACTTTTGCCCTTATACCAATGATACTTTTATTTAGACACCAATATTAACAGAGGAGCGCTGACGCGTACATCTCACCCTGAACATTTCAGTTAATTTTCAGGGTTGTTGTGAAAGCACCATAAGAGATAAGATATTCAAACCTAAGATTATCCAGTACTATGTAATGAATATAATGCTGTCACAAAGCCACATCATTTATGACTTAATCTATGACATACATAACATAATAACACCACAGTCAATTCTTAAATTTTGTTTTTGTTTTTTTTATGTACTAAATTGTTCTTGTTAAATTTAGTCAATTAGCCTAGAAAATTGTGCCCTTTAGTTGAAAATTGGCTCCGTATGTGTACGCATGAACAACAGGAATTAACGGCAATGCTGGCAGCCGTATTCTATTTCAAATATTTCAGTAGCTTTTGGCATTCCGTTCCACATGTGGGTGTAACGTCTGACCCAAACAAACAGCCCCAGCTTCGACAGTGTTATTAGTGGAGCGGTGAGTGTGCAGACAAATGGGAACAAATTATCACACCAATTCAAAACAGATACAGCACCATTGCATGTTACGTTAATTAGCTAGCTAAAAGGCAATTATTAGTTAATATTAATATTCCAGAATTTATCTGCAAACTTTTCTGAGTAGCCATCAGCAGCCTGTAATATTTAACATCCTTCACTGAACCAAAGGGAGGCTGCAAGCTGTGCATGAGGGAAGTGGTGTTGAAGGAAAAAATATGTAAAACCAAAAAACTTAGGCTCCCTAGATGTTATAATTTAATGGCTATGAATTTTAACTTCTGTTGTAAAAGAGGGCAGGAGTGTAATTTTCTTACCTTGTTTTAGGGGATGTCGTTAGCCATTCTTCATGCTTTTCAAATGTTATCAAGTAAGCCGCGATCTCCTGTGAAAAAGAGAAGAGAGAGCAGAGAGGAAGGGAGTGAGGCTTAGATATGTCATCTTTAATCACTGTTCTCTTGTGTTTGTAATACATCGCTGAGACTGCTTCATTGATATTCAGACAGTCTAACCAGCAGCACAAACAGAGGAAAGACGGAGACAGGGGCCGTGCGGGGGAGCTCAGCCAGGTAAATGGAGACTGGTTAAAAAAAAAAAGTAAAGTGAAAGACAGAAGTGGAATGCAGCTGAGGTCAGATCATCTTCCGAGACCATCTTTGTTACGAACGCTTTGATCAAGTTCTCCTCTGAGGACATCAAGGTGCTCTCAGGAAGATTGACATCTCTGTGTTTGAGAGCGAGCGGCTTTTAACATTTTTGGTCCGATCCTCCCCTAAATCCCTTTGATCTGCCCTTGACACTCCTCTTTGGATCAATCCACTCTTTAACCTTTGAATAATAATTACACGCCAGTCTCACAATATTGACATGCCTGTGTTCTGTGTCTTAAGAAAAAGGCCGGAGATCCTTGGGAGATAGTTGTGTACAAAGATATAGCATAGACACACAAAAAGTCCAAACTGCCACTATTAGAAATAGAGATACTTGAAACACTTTCATCTTTCCCATGCTCACCCTGCCTACTACTTCTGTCTGAGTATAAGAGGAGAACACGCCAGACCATACCCAGCCATTTTCTCACCAAACTAATGGGCAGAAATAAAAGCACTTTGGATGCTGGTACACAACCTAATGATTAACAGCGACAGGCAGCAATTCACTCTTCAGCAGGAACATTTGTCAGCTTCTCAGACTGTTAGAGAGAGCCAGCTCGACACAGACCCAGTGTCATCTTCTACAAATATATGTTTTCAGTTTTTTTAAGGATGTGCATCTCTCCTCTTGTTAGAGTGTCAACAAACCTTTATGTTGGAATATGTTGTTCAAATATTGTCTTGTTTTGTCTGTGAGGCTTGAGGAGGATAACACTCTCCTCTGGGGGAAATGTGTTGTTACATTGCATGTCCACATGGGGCAATAACATCATAGGTGTGTCAATCATTTGTGACTGGGGTAGATCGACTGGGGCAGCTTGGTAGCATGAAGAAGTGTGCAGACACATGTCCAAGTAGAATTTATACCATTTCTGTCTCCAGTAATAATTCTAAGTACTTATATTGACAGCATCATGCATTCCCCAAACTCATGTAGACATTTTTTTTTTTACAATTTAAAAATAATAGAATATTCTTTAAGGGCTCATAAACGAGATACATCTCCAAAAGAGTCTGTCAAAAGTACCACAAATAGAAAATGTGCTATAATGAAATGCCACAAAAGCAGGTTGAAGTTGGTTTTAACACAATCCATCTATGACTGAGTAGATAACCAATCAAAGCTTATGGGTTAGTACATTAGATTTCAGTGGTGGGGGTCATGTCACCCCTTGCATTTCCCTGTTAACGCCCCTGAATAATGTGTCCAAACATTTTTAGACATATGTGGCAGCACAAGCAAGTTGTAATTATTCTCTTTATGACTATCTGTTTTTGCATGCAGACACACTCAACACACATTAAGAAAGCTCCTATTGGCTCATCAAGGCCACAAGTCACAAGTGTGACCTGGCAGAGAGTCACAGCACACTGGCGATAGCCCACAGGGACGCTGCAGGGCATGGCCCTGTGAGGGGTTCCCAGGCTGGCAGGGGTCCCAAAAGAGTGGTTTGGTGGTAGCATGACTGGCACCCTCGCCTCCAGGTGCAGGCTGGGAGATAAAGCTGTGTTGATTAACTTCCTGTTCTCTTGCCATAATGACCAGAGGCAGTGAAGTCATGGCAAGATGGAGACTTGAATTAGGAAAAAGATAGCAAAGGGGATGAGGAGCTAAGGCTCGCTCCTTTAATACAAGAGGAAAAAAACACAGCAAAGAAAAGAAAGAGGAAAATAAGTATTCACAACGAGGGTCATTGTAAGTTACTTCTGTGCATACAGTTGTGGGTAAATTAGACTAACAAAACAGCAGTTGGATTAATCGCTGATATTCTGTGATCATTTTGGGAAGGAGAACGGCAGGGGGAAGCTCCTTCAGTGACCTCTGTGCCAGTTAGCATACAGCCCCTCCATCACTCGCTTTAAAAATCCAGCCCCAGCCTCAGCCTCAGTAGCAGGAGATGAAATAGGGGGCCGCATGGTCTCGTACTTAAAAAAATAAAAAAATAGAAGTATGCCTCTACCTCTGGCTCTGGGCGCACCCCTCCCTCTTCGAACAGATGCCAGGGATTATTCCAACCCCCCGACCAACCATAAAGGTGCAATAATCTTATGGTGAGGAAACAAACAAAAACAGACGTGCAGCCATTAAACAGCTGCAAAAGAGACAAAGTTTGCATGGGCGGCATAATGAGAGGCTAGCGTGCGTTCAGGTTGAGCAAACACGCTTGCGGTGGTTAGCGCGAGATGGGCAGAGTGAGGAGGGGTGGGTGGAGAGTTGTGCCGAACACTGATGGTGCATCAAAGTCAAGCCAGCAGCTGTCAATGGGCGCAGGACTCTATCTGCTGACCTCAGTGCCTCTGGCCTTCTCTCAGTCACCGGGGGGAAATGTTTAGAAGAGGCTTTCTTTACACAGTTCCCACCTCACAGATCAGAATCCGGCCCGTGCCAGGCTGTTTTTACTTCCTTCCTTTATGCCTCAGCCTCCCCGCTGGCATGATCCTTCCTGGGGTTTTTATCTCCAGGTAATGTTGAAATACACTCTTCCAGTAAGGGCTGTTTTCTGCACTGCTTAAACTCCCTTTTCCAAGCTGGATCTAAATAAATAACAATCACCTCAAGCTGGCAGTGAACCAGAGAATGAGTATGAGCAACACCTCCTCTAATTGACACGGTGGTTGCAGGAAAAAAAAAAAAAAAGAAAGAAAGAAAAAGGCCCTTTCATTTTACAGGGGAGAGAACAACCCGGAGCTGTTTGTTGTAACCCAGCCATCTCATTTGTTTCTTTTGTCTCCATAAAAGCTGCGACACACTGTTAGCAAAAGGGGGCTGCCCCAGAACACAACGGAGCAGTCTTGCAGTTTCAGGGGCTGATGGAGATGGAGAGGCCGAGAGTGTTTGTGTGTGTTTCCTGTCTGCCTTGTCACAATCAGAGGGGTCTGATTACCGGTTACCTGTCCAAGCCTGGCACGTTATTAACATGCTCTTCAGGAGGTGTCACTCCTCTCCTCATCAGTGTGTTTCTCCCTTTTAGTTCTCTCTTTTCAAAGCCTTCACACACCTTCTCCAATCTGACTCTCACTCACTCTCATTTTCTTCCCCCTTTCTTATAACCGCTGAGGTGAAAAGGAAAGCCACCGTGAGGAAATTTTCATTTTGAGATGACTAGCTTTTACTGTCTCGCCTTTCAAATGATATTTTCACTCCAGAGGTACAACATTTTCTCCAGAGAGAATCAGCTTTTGAAATGTCTACCTATTTGAAATTGGAGATGACACTAACATATTCATCCCTTTTCAATTCTTTGCACCAAGGAAGGGGGTGGTTGCAGGAGCAGGAAACTCCTGGAAAATAAAAACACTTGACTTGTCCCATATTTTGATTGTCTCAAAATTATTCTGGCATTCTCAGGAGAAACTGTTTTGTAGACTTGATCAGAAAAATGTCATTAGATTTTCAACCAAAATGCAGTCAAACATGATGCCAGTATTTGATGGAGTTATTCCAGAGTAGATTCACTATCCCGGGATCACCTGAGGCTAGATTGTTTTGCTGTTCCGTCTGATTCTCTCTCTCACTGGCAACTTTGATTTATGGGAGGAAATAGAGGTGTTGAGAGGACCAACGCTTCGGCATTTGGATGACAGACCTGATCACTTGAAACAACTGTCGCTGTTCCATTAGAGGGACAGATAGGAGTCTTTTGGCATTATCTCAGGACGCATCAGACACCTGTCTCCAAACACCATCCATAATGTCTCGCCTCTCCTTCTGCATCCACAGCGTATTTGACGTGACAGAAAATAAGACAGAGAACTGGGGGGGGAGGACAGAACACTGGAGCAAAATCCCGTCTGTGCTACGCCTACATTTAAATAACAACACTGACATCATTGTCTGGGAATTTAATCTTAGATTCTTAAGCCCATGATTTACGAGACACATTATGTAAAAACATAAGATAACAGAGTCATTATTTGGTGGCTCAGACATTTAAAACCAGTTTTCATTTCCCCCCAAAAAAGAAGTATTCAACAATTACAGCATGTGTTTGTCCATTACTGTATTATTCCAGTTATAGTGGTGCTCTAGTGTCACTAATGAAAAGGCTCTAATGAATCGCTGTATTAGAAAATCTAACTTTAGCATCAGTATTGATTGCAGTAAAAGCTTGAGCTAATGAAATGAATATGAGAGAGCAGGAAGATGCAAAAGAAAAGACGGTACAGAGTCTGGGTGGAGAGGGGAGTACAGCGCCTCCAGTCTGCCTTGTGGTGAAGTCTGGGGAACGCAGCCTCAAAGCTTTGACCTTGCCCTGCACTTGAAAGCAGGAAGTGGATGAAAGAAGGGGGGGGGGGGGGGGGCAAGCGAGGGATATTGTGAGAGGAGCCCTCCCTGATGACCTGGGTTTTGCTGTGGAGAGCCAGGTCATCTGATATTTCCTCCAGGGCAGCCCAGGAAACCAACCTGCCCAGGACCGGGCACAAATGGACTGGCGCGGATATGGGAGGGGGGGAGGGGAGGGGTGTAGGAGTTTGCCGAAGCTCTGGGCTATCACAAGATTACACCAGGAAAAAATTCAAATGCAATTAGACACAAAAGAGATACAGACTGGTCCCTGAAGAAAGGGATGGAGACGAAGGAGGTTGGGGGAGTAACTGAAAAGGGAAAGGATAATCAAAAAGGAGAGAGGAGGAGGAAAGTTTTAAGTTTTTTTTCCCCTTGACAATGATAAATGCATTTAAAAGAGGGGAAGTGTGAAGGTACGGTGATTAAAAAAAAAGAGCGCTTCGG